TTCTCCTATCTCATTACTTCTCAACAATCAAGCATCTTTATGCCCACACAAACCTCTCTTTAAAGAGGATCTCACTCTCTTTACCCATTTTCACAGGAATGCTGGTGTTCACAGTGCCCTTCCCTCTCGGTGAACTCATCATTGCACACTCACCCTGTCACAGACTGACACAAAAACTCAGGACAAGCCTTGGATCCTCAGTGTTCCTTTATCCCTGACTTTTGGCAGCCTCCAGGCCCTAAAGTTTGCCCCACAACATGTGCTCTGATCACAGGCTTTTCCTTCCACTCCAAGGCCTCAGTGCACACCCTGAGAAACCCCAGCTGGGAAAGCTGAGGACAGACTTGTCTTTTGTAGCAGGATCTGTGCTGCAGGAATGTGTCCATGGCACGTGTCCACGGAGGGAGTGACTCACAAGCACCACCATACAGCCCAACCCTCAGCCTGTGGAGGGCCACCAGCTGAAATCTGGGAATTCACAGTTTTTAGATCCCTCTGAGGGGAAAAGAGGAAAATTGCCCGAGACATATTTCAGCTGCAAAGTGAAACACAAGTTCTCCTGACAATCAGAGCTGTCTGGATGTGAATCACTGGGAAGGAGAGTAGGGATTCCAGGGAATAGAACTGTTACTCAGAAGCAATTCCTGACTGAAAGAAAGCTAACTCATCTGTGCAATCCCTCTGGAAATTATTGCCAGGAGGCTTTAAAGCTTACTTACCAATGATTTGCAAAAAAATTTAACATTTACACTTGAGACCATCTCAATACTTTTAAACTCTGTACCAAGAGCACCAGTTCCTGTATCACCACCCAGACTCAAATAAAAAAGTTGAGGATGTTTTTGGCTCTGAGGACTTTCCCAGGCAGAATTTAAAGGAATTACAGTTTGCTGGCCAGAGAAGGAAAAGGCCTGATTTATACCCACTGAGCACAGGCTATAACTAAGTGGTTACACCTCAGTTTACAAAGGGCTCCTTTACAACACTCCCAAGAAATAACCCTCACATGACATTTTGCTGTCTATACCAAACACGTATCAAAGAAAGGCTGAGGAGGTTCTCAGCTGCTGAGGTTACATCAAACCCTCCAAGGATGAGCTGGTGCATCAGGAGGAGACTTATCTAATAAGATTATCAAGCAATAACCCTACCAAGACTATCTCTGAGAAGCAGCACTGCATGTCTCAAGTCCTGTTATTTCCTTGTACTGATGTGCCTTTAAATCACACAGTTACTTTGTGGGTGAAAAAAGATAAAAATTGATGACAAAGAAGCTCAGGGATGGTTTGCTATACACCAATGTACAGAGCTGCAGTGTCACAGCAGAGCTTACATAAGGGAATGAGCACAGGGTGAGACAAAGGCAGACCTGAATCCACACAAATCCATCCCGTGGAGCTGCTGCTGGAGATGCTCACATCCCCTTCCTGCCTCGGCCCCAGCATTGCACTGAACAAAAGAGACCCTGAGCCCACAAGACAAACAGTTCACCTGCCAAGTCTCTGGTTCAGATACACAAAAACATGGACAAGCTTCTGCTACAATCACTGTGAGTGCTCCAGAGTGGGGGATTTATTAAATGTGAAATCACAGCTTTTTCTTTTGTAATGACAGACAATTCAAAGGTAAACAGATAGTAGACTCTGATTTTCAGCACAGGTGCCCCATTTCGCAATAACATCTTATTAGAGCTGCCAGAAATCCAGGGTCTGATTAATTAGCAAGTACACACACGTTGCTCAGTGGAGAGGGGAGACCTTCCTCACGGGTTCCCTACATCTGCTCCAACCCATGCCATACCATTATCTGCTGGATAATCTGAATTTCTCGTTAGTGGAGTCTGTTGTTTGTTTCCTTTAAAACTGAACTTGTTGATCCTCTGTCTTCACCTTGGCATGAGCAGAGGATGCAATCACTGAGTGTCCTCCAGAACACCCAGGGCTGAGCTTTCAGCAGCTCCATCCTCACACACTCCCTTACAGGAACTGCACAGGCAGTTTTGTAACTCTGTCCTGTGACTTCCACAGGTGACTGGGTCTATTTGACCAAGTCACTTCACCATGTTTTTTATTTACAATAAAATTCCACACACCATCAACTTATTCCAAGTGACCTGTCTGAGTTGCACTCAAATCCCAGAGCTCAGGTTTCTCCGAGCATATTCACCACAATGCAGCCTTCACTGCTCTGAAATGCCACTAGGGCACATAAAAATATTCCTCTTAGACAATGGAAGCCTCCCTCATTAATAAAACACGGAACAGACAAGGAAACGAAATGAAATCAGATACATCACTCGTTCTGTCCTAGTCAGCTCTCAAGAGAAAAGACTTGGAAAATATTTACACTTGGTTTAAAAGAGACCACAGGCAGCCCACCGGCTCTGGAATTAAATAAATCTGGAAGTTTTCATCGTGACACCTAGAAACAGAATCACCACTGTAACAGGTTTCCTTACCTAAGCACCCCAATCCTGAAGGGAGTTCTCACAGACGAAGAAAATACAGGTTTCAGTAGATTGATACATTGTCTGGTGGGAAAAATCGTATCAAAGTGCTGGTGACAACACTGTGACAGCCATTCCCGACGGAGCCCAGCCATGTGCGTGCTCCTCCCGGGGTAGAGCCCATCCTGTTTTGTTACTGATCACAATTTAATAAGGCTCAAACCCCAGTGTGGGCACAGAGCCAGACCCTTTCTCCTGCTTCACGGGTTTGTTTCTCGAGCTTTAATCCCTACCTTTGTTCCATCTGGGTTCTGGCTGCTACAATCCTTTGTGCTCAGGTCATGCAGTCACCGCCCCTGGCTGAGAGCTCGAGTTTGGTCCAGAACTTTTCCCACTACCTCTGCCTGAAGCGCTTCCCCGGCTAACAGGGCACAGGTAGATCCCAGACACGGCTTGAAAAGTGATTATCTGCATGGAGAAGCTCTCAGTAACTTCAATTTTTTTTTTTTTTTTCTAGATTGCATCCACAACCATGTGGAAAAACTCCAAGTGAGCATCGCATTCACGGAGGGAAAAATAATTACTAAAATCCAAATTTAGTTATCCTTTAGACAGACACCGTTGGTTCTCTTTAATAAACATATTCTGCTCGCAATTTCTGAAGTGAGCATCGAAATGAGTCAGAAAACAAGATTTTATTTGCCTTACAAAAATGCTGTCTTGACAATCCTCAACAGGTTCAATAAAGTGTGGGACAGGCAGCAACACCCAGGTGAAACAACTATTTTGGTCTGTCTGCTGGGCTGGGGGTTGTCCTTTATCTGAAGGATTTTACAGGAAATAACCTTTACCTGAAGATCATGAAGGCAGGCAATAATAACCTCTTATTTTAACCTGAACTTTATCCTTAGGGCAGACAGTGCTCAGTGTGCTGCAGTCATCCATAACAATGGGGAAAGGTTTCCTTGAGGGAAAAAATCCTCACTGATAACCCCAAATTTAGCCTTCTTAAACCTATGTCAATGAAGAAATTTCAATTGAAAAGTACAGAAAATTTCCCTGATTTCATATAATCTCACAGATTTATTGGTCCAATTCTTATTTAATCAGAATGAACACATCTCTCTCAAAACTATTTTTACAGCTTCTTCCATGCCACTCCTCATGCATGAAATATTATCTTTAAACACACCCACAAAGCTGATTTCCCTCTGCCCCCAAACCATTGTGCCATTAATCACTGCTCGAATTTGTTTAAAAATAAGAAAAATCAGCTGACGAACTTTAGGACAGATGAAGACAAATTGGCATTTTATATTAAAGATACACTGCTATAAATAATTCAAAGTAATCTGTAGCTTAAGTGCTGCAGTTGTAAGTTCTAACTTCTACACTAAGAGCTTAAATATTCTGACAAAAATCAGGTCTGGAATCCTCCACTGCAACGCTCTCCCCGGGGTCCCATTACTACCTCTTGATACTACTATTAAGAAGTATGAAAAGAGGGAAAATTCAACACATTTAGAGAGTATAATTTAAGAAATAAAATCGATATTTCATAAGTTATTTCCAAAGCTCTAGCTGGAAATTTTCAAGTTTGTCATCGTTGCTTTTGTACAAAGCAATTCCCAAGTTCCCAGATGAAGAGATCTCTTATTTTCTCGCTGCAGTTGGAAGAAACTTCATCTGAAGAATTTAAATACTTTTCTGCAGAGGCTTTCATTAAAGGACGTTTAAACACAGAAAGAGAAGATTGCACGAGGTAATTGGTGCTACTTTTGATATAAAGTAATAAAAGTAAGATGCTGCATCACCAGAGCCCCGGAGGATGCAAAATATTGCATCATACAGCAATAAATGAATGCAAAACATGTGGAGATACCATATGGTATCTTCGCCAGATAAGGGCAGTACAACACATGCTCATTCTTCCAGTTTGTATAAAAACCTAGTGTTAATTTACATATTCTCTTCCCGTCGTAAAAAAGTAGACTTTTGGGGCGGGGAGCGAGGAGCAACTCGTGTTTTTGCTGTTTTCTGCCGCCTCGCAGCGCTCGGCCGGGCACACAATGGGCGATCCATCGCTGCTCGCCGGTGCCAGCGGTGCTGCCCCGCACCCGCGGCACCCTTTGCTCCGGGCGGAGAATCTTCCAGCCCCCCCTCAAAAACAACCAAGTGACTCTGCTTTGCGGTCCGCCGGCGCTATCGGCCGCTCCATCTGCTCTGACTCACCGCGGCTCCCGCACTCCCTCCCGGCGCCGGGCACACGCCCTCGGCTCCGCTGTTGTGCCCGCACCGCGCCGGGAGCCGCCCCGAGCGCAGCGCCGCGGCTGCTCGGGGGTGCTCGGAGGGGCTGGCGCCGCCGTGCCGGGCGGGGCGCGGGGTCCGTGGGATCCGTGAGGGGACCCGGAGCCCCCCGGGCGGGAAGGCGGAGGGAGGAGGGAGGGGAGCGGGGGCAGCGCCCAACGGTCGCGGCGCGCGCGCGCTCGGCGCTCCGACGGGACGGGGCTCCCCCGCCCCACCTCCCCTCCGCTGCCTCCCGCCTCGGCCGTACCTTGACGAAGAGCTCGATGACGGGCTCCTTGTCGCCTTCCTTCAGCCCGTTGACCGGCACGGACAGCGCCATTGCTCTCGCTGCTGCAGCCCCTGCCCCGCCTCGCCCGCCGCTGCCACAGCCGGGACGGCGACGCCGCTCCGCTCCCCTCACCCGCCCTGCGCGCGACTGAGCGCGGCGCCGCCCCGCGCCCGGAGCCCGCCGGGGCCGCGCGGGGTGGGCGGGGCTCCGGCAGGGGCGGGGCAAGGGTTGAGTGGCATCGCGAGGGGCGTGGCCTCCCTGAGGGGACAATGCTGGGCAGCGCGGGGGGCGTGGCCGCTGTGAGGGGGCGTGGCCGCCGCGAGGGGACAGCTCTGAGGGGCAGCGCCGGCCATGGCGGCGGCGGAGTCCCCTCAGGGATGGGGGTCCCCGCGGTCACCCCCATCGGCCCCCGCTGTGAGACACCGCCCGCGGCTGCTGCCGTGCTCGGTGACAACGCGTGGGAGCGGCCTTGGCGGGGCCACAGCCCCGTGGGTGCTGCCCCGGGGTATGTGTCCCCCCCACCGCCATCGGCTCAGCCCGCCTCACCCTCAAGTGGAAACTTAAAATCTAGAAACTTCCCCCTCACAGACCCACCACACCAGAGCAGCACGAACGGCTCCTTTCCTGGCAGGGGGAAAAATCCATCCCAAGAGGCAGCTGAGTCTGCGGCCTAATTTTCCCCTCACTATTAAGGTCAGGGACTGAGGAGCCGGACAAAAAAAAAAATTGTGGGTGAAACGCCGGAAAGAGAGGAAACCGCACTTTTCCCAGGCTTTCCACCGAAACAGCAGAGCCACGATCACATTTTCCCCATGCGGCTTCACACAACAGAGCGGCTTTCATGCCTCGGCGCCTCCCGCCCTTGCTCGCAGTCCTCGCTGCTCTTTTGGAAGCCCAGACTCTGTTTTTAATAGTCTGGAGCTGCACCTGAGCGTCTCGGCAGAGCCGTTCCCAGGGCAGGCCGGGGCTGTGGCATCCCCCGAGGTGGCCCGGGGTGACTTCAATGCCGTCTGTGACCCGGGATGAGCCTCCCTGTAATTTGTACCCAAATGCAGCCCGCCATGGCTCCACATGGAATGGTTACCAACGGAGCGCTCGCTGCTAAGAACAAAACCTCCTGTCTCTCCAGGTTCTGCATAACCGGATGTCTTTACGCAAATATCGGCTTTGAATGCCCTTGGATTCATCTGGAGCAGGAAAAACTGCTGCGAGCCCCTCTCCGGAGCTGATAGGGCTGGGCCAATGTGACAAAGTCCTTTTCATTCCCATTCCTGCAGCTTCTGGACAGCCCCAGCTCCCCAGGAGCAAGTGGAATATCTGTCTCTGCCTGGTTTACAGTCCAAGGAATCTCGCTGATTCATGGGGTGGGACAGCCTGGGCTGGAAATTGGTGTGTCAGTGGAACCAAACTGATGTGTGGCTGGCCAGTCCAGCCCTGGCCAGGAACCTCCCTTGGTAATTACCCGTTAATTAATTGCAGCCTGTACCATGAAAGGACACCGTCCCACTGTTCCTGTTGTTGCTGGAACGTGGGTTCCAACAGAAGGGAAGAAACTTCCCTTAAATGAGGTTGTCCCAGAGACTCCACAAGCATCTGTCTGAGGCTTTGCATTCACTTTTGTGCACGCAGAGTAAGAAATTTGCACCAGTTAGGGCCAAATGTGGATTCTGGGACTGGTTTAATGAGAGGCAAAGAAAAGTTGGATCCTCTGTCTGCTGGGAAAGGCAGGAGCTGAGTCCTAATTCCAGGACAAGGAACACTGAGCCAAGGACCAAGCCTCCCTCTCTGCTCTACCAGAAGTTTAAAATCCCAGGGTTTTGTCAAACTTGCAGTACTTCCCAGGGCTTCCCACAGCACAGACCCACCTGCTCGAGAACAGGCAGTGGTTTAGCACAAAGAATCAGTTCTCCCACAGCGCCCGCAAAAGTGGGTGTAGAGCAACAAATTTGAGGTCTGCGAGGCTCTCGGGGCCTTTTTATGTTTCCCAGCCCCACAAAGGAGCTGCCAGGGCTGTTTTTCCCTCACTGCTGCTGCATTTGTGCTCCAACAAAAGCTCTCCCCTGCTGATATCTCGCAGAGCAGCTAATAGCTTATTTCATTTATACCCAGCTGCACCAGCCCTGGCTCTGCTTTAATATCTTTTTAATTATTTCACTTTCAGATGACATTTTCCTGGTTTCCAGCTACCACTTACCAAACCCCTCATGCTTCCCATTCAAGTGAAACCTCCAACAATGTTCAGTCTGAAAGCTTTCAATTCTTTCCTCCTTCAGTAATTGCTGTTTGTATTATTCTGGATTTATTTATTTCTTTTCTAGAACACTTAGAATGAATTTGTCCATGCTTTACATAATAAATCACCAGTGCTCCTAACAATCCATAGGGAAATGAGCATCACCCACCTTTAACAGCAGTGAGGAATGAGTCAGGAAAGTTCAGTGACTTACTCAAAGCTAAATTTGCACCAAGCCCTGGAGTGGGAACAAAGCAACTCTGGCCCCCCACGTGTGCTCAGTGGGTCACTCCCTCAATATTATTTTATGCTGCATTCAGGAGCTTTGTCCCCATTTGGCCGAGCAGCAAAACAACATGAGATTGTTTCATTTCTCTGGCAGTTTTGGCCTTTCTGCAGCAGTTTTTCCATCTCAGACTTTCCAAGTGCTTTTGAAACTGGAGGCATCAGATATTAAAGATATCAAAGCAGGCCCTCTCCTGCCCTGGCCGTGCGTGTTCCTCTGGTGGAATTCTCTACCACACTGACCCTGGGGCTCAAAAATGGGTTTTTATTTCCATAGGGAATTTTTCAGGCACGGGAGGAGCTCAGCACAAAGGTCAGGTTGTCACTCAGGGGGTCACACGTAAGAACATCCCATTTTTTAAATTACAGTGAAACTGCTGTGAGAAGGAAGATGCTGAGGAGGTTTGGGAAGGAGTGCTGGCTGTGGCTGGAAGCAGGAGCCTGTCCTGACTGCCGGGTTCATTAGAGCTCCTGAAAGCCATGCTGGACACAGCTGGGAGAGGAACCTGCCTAGGGACACCTATTAAAGGAAAGCAGGACTGCCACACCCTGGATATAAATACCAGCATTCCCATTCCACAGCTAATTCGGGATCCTGGGCTGGGATGCAGCAGCGGAAGCACAGCCACCACAGCCCAGCCCTCGTGTCACAGATGCTTTGCTGAGCTGCTGCCCCCTCAGAAGAGAAATCCCAGGAGCTCCACATTCCTCCCTCCCATCCAGGCACTGAGAGGGGTTTTGGGCTCCATCCGTCACCTGCCTCCTGAGAGGGACAAATTTGTTATGGCTCATTCCTCTTTTCTTGCCCCTGCATCAAGCAGGATTTGGTTTGCCAGATTGCTAAGGATTGCGGGGGAAACCCAGCTTCTGCTGGTGTCAGACTGTTTGCAGTTTGCTGTGATTCCCAACCAGCTGTCCCTGGATGGCTCATTTTCCTCCGGGGTGGCTGCCAAACTTTAGGATTAGCTGCAGTGAGCAGCTGAGGACACGCGTGGAGCCGGCCCTGGAGCTCACAGCTGCCACTGGGGAGAAATCCACAGAAAACAGCTCTGTGCTGTGGGCTGAGCACTTACAGCAGCACAGGACACATCCCGTGGCCTTATGTGGGAAGGTGACCTCATCCCACAATTTCTGGGTCACTCCTGTGCTCCATGGTCCAAGTTAGCACCGCTCCCAGCACAGAGATTGGAGAACTCGACGATTCTAGGAAATGTTCATCAAGAACTTTCAGTGGCAGTAATTGCACTTGGAGTAATTTAATAATCAATGGCCTTTCCGTGCTTCTTCCTTTTTTGTTTCCCCTGGATACTGGCATATGGTCCTTTCCCCGGGGAGCTGGATGGTAATTAATGCATTTTGTGGTTAAATGTTTGGACTCAGCATCTCAGGGTGGCCGAGAAGCAGGGAGGGGACAAAGCAGGCATTGTCTGCAGGTTTCCCTCTGCCGTGGGTCCCCTCACAGAGGCACCGGGGGCAGCTTTTTGGGAATGCTGACACAGGCACAGGTTTCACCTCACTTCCTTTGGATCACAGGGAAGTTGAAGTGTTTGTCACCTCCCTGCCTTTGGAGGTGATACTCGAGGAGGGGGAAAAGGAAAGTTGGCTCCCAGGACCACACACACGACAGGAGTAATTGAATGCCTGACTCTCCCCTTTCAGCAGGACGCTGTTGCTGTGCTCTGCCCGGGGTTTCTTGCTGCCCTACTTTCCAAATTCAGGTGTCAGCCTGTCCTCTGCTGTGAGCATCAGGAAACAAAGATTTGGGCTTCTTCCTTCTGCAGGAAGAGACCTGGAAAGGATAAAGAGGCAGAGATGGAGCTGGGGCTGAGTGCTGGGAAACCTTCCCATGGTAGCACTGTGCAGATGCACACACACGAGGAGTCCTTCAATAAAAACCCCAAATCCGCTGCATTCCTGGTTTGAAAAGTTACTTGGGGAAAAATAAAAACTAGTTTTGTGAGCCTGATTAAAATCTGTATTTCCCCACCTTTATGTATAGAAGTTGCCTGAAAGTAAATAAATTCAGGTATTGTCTGTTTTCTTTTAAGGTTAGTCCCCAGGTGATTCAAACACCTGGGCTGATAAGGAGACTTGGTGAAGAAAAAAGCACTACATAACCTGCTTCTCCCAAAATAACAACCCAAGCTTTGCCTGGCTGAGGTTGATTAAGTGGTTAAATCAGCCACAGTCCCCTGCAGCAGCAATCAAACACCACCACTGAGGTTTCCTGCTGAATTCCCATCATCTGAAAAGCCTGGAAGCTGCCGGTAGCTGGGGCTCCCCTAATGAACCCTGTCCATTATATCCCAGCTGGGATTCAGCACTGAGGACTGGCTTCTGTCACAGAGCTGAAATGCAGAAACTGTTTGCTGTGGGTTTTTAATGGGCTGCAGGTCTGAGGGACCCGGGGAAGGGGAGCTGAGGGAAGGCAGTGCTGGCTCTGTGTGTGGGGAAAAGGGAAGCAGCAGCACCCTCACAGCTTCCAGCCCCCCTCCCATGGATCTGCAGGGGTCAATCCAGTCGCAGCAATGACACCTAGATGCTCGATTTTCTCTCTGAGGTGCAGCCCAACATCAGAGAGAAAGAGATTCACAAAAAAACCCAAAGCTTTTATCTTCAGGCTGGCTTGATCCAAAGCTGTGAGCAT